AGTCCCAGCTACTAAGGAGGCTGAGGCAAGAGGATCGCTTGAGCCCAGGAGTTTGAGGTTGCTGTGAGCTAGGCTGACGCCACGGCACTCCAGCCCAGGCAAGAGAGTGAGACTCTGACTCAAAATAAAATAAAATAAAATAAAATAAAATAAAATAAAATAAAATAAAGCATCTCACAGCATTAGAACTAAAAGGATGGGCAAAGGAATAGTAATTAAAACAAACAAAAAATCAGGGATCACAAAATTAGTAATATATAGAAAATAAAACCCAAAGCAAGTGGATTAAAACAGCACAATAAGGCTTATTTTATAATAATGAAGGATATAATTTCACACTGAAAATACAACTCTGAGAAGTCTTTATATGTTTGTATTAGTTTTCTCTTGCTGCACATCACATTAGCCACAAACTTAGTGGCCTGAAACAATACTCATTTATTATCTCATAGTGTCTGTAAGTCAGAAGTCTGAGCACATTGTAACTATGGGCTCTGGTCAGGGTCTCACAAAACTGAAATCAAATGGAGATGCCAGCTGATCTGTGTTCTCATCTAGAGCTTATTCAGCTCTTGGAATCCTCTTCCAAACACCTTGAGGTTATTAGCAAAATTCATTTCCTTGAGATTTTAAGACTGCGGTCTCTGTTTTCTAGCTACATGTTGGCTGGGGATCACTCTGTTGGGGACATAGGAAAGATGCCCTTTGCCCTTTGAAGTTTCACTGAAAAATCAACTCCCAAAAGACAAATTAACTGGAGAAAAGGCATACAAATTTATTATTATATTAATCTGTACACAAAGGAGCCTTCAGAGTAAAGACTCAAAGACACAGGGGAAACTGTCCATTTTTATGCCTAGATTCAACAATGTATGCACAGATGTGTAGAAATGTGATTGGACAAAAACGGAATGATCTAATGCTAGTAGACTGAGTGGGGAAACCCAGCAAGACCTTCTGTCTAGATTCTTCTTGGCCTCTCTGAGCATGCATTCCTTCCTTCTGGGTATGAAGCAGGGCTCTGTCTGGAATGGGGGTCTTATGACCTACAGTCACACAAGGTAGGTCAGATAATTTCTTTATGACTAGTTTTAACACAGAAAGGCAGAGGGAAAGACAAAGTAATATTCTTAGATTTTTATGGCTTTAGGGAAAAGGGGTTCTGGTTTCTATGACCTGCCTTGAGGAACAGGGAGTCTAGTTTCTACGGCCAGCCTCAGGGGAGAATAGGACTGAGAGACAGGAGGGCCAGGGAAGGTCAAAGAAAAGCTTTTGCTTCCAAGCCTGCCTCTAAGGTTTTCATTTTGGGGTGTGGTTTTCTGATTCCCAACAACTCCCTGGAGTCCTTGCCTCACTGCCCCTTCCATAGGCAGTTCAAGCCAGGGCTGTTGCTTCCTCAAGGCCAGCATGAAGCTCTCTCTCACTTCAAATCTCTCTGATTCCCTCAGTCTCTGACCTTTAAACTCTTTTTTGAAGGGCTCACTTGATTTGGTCAGGCCCACTCAGGATAACCTGCCTTCTGATTAACTTTAGAGTGATTAGGGCTCTTGGCTATATCTGGCAAAAATCCCCTTCACCTTGTAATTTTATCATGAGAGTAACAGCCTCTCACACTCACAGATCTCTCTCACACTCAAGAGATCTCACACTCCTCCTACCTGGCATGTATACCAAGCGGCAGGGATTTGGGAGACCATCTGAGAATTCGACCTGCCACAGTGTCGAATTGTTTTTCATGAAAACATATTAGCTCTTAATATTGTTGGGGTGTGAGAGCTAGAGCACATGGGTTTTGAGAAAGATTTCTCCAGACAGGCCGGGCGCTGTGGCTCACGCCTGTAATCCTAGCTCTTGGGAGGCCGAGGCGGGCGGATTGCTCAAGGTCAGGAGTTCAAAACCAGCCTGAGCAAGAGCGAGACCCCGTCTCTACTATAAATAGAAAGAAATTAATTGGCCAACTGATATATATATAAAAAAAATTAGCCGGGCATGGTGGCACATGCCTGTAGTCCCAGCTACCCGGGAGGCTGAGGCAGAAGGATCACTGGAGCCCAGGAGTTTGAGGTTGCTGTGAGCTAGGCTGACGCCACGGCACTCACTCTAGCCTGGGCAACAAAGCGAGACTCTGTCTCAAAAAAAAAAAAAAAAAAAGATTTCTCCAGACAAAGAATAGGATAGAAAGAAGAAGTTTATTTACTTTTCCCTGGGCAGAAAAAAGGGCCAACACAGAAATGAAGGAGATAGAAAATGTGGGCAGAGAGAACCAAGTATTCAGGCTTTTTATTTAGGGAGTGAAGGAGGTTTATGGCTATAGCCAAGTTCACAGGATACTGCTGCATCCGCTCCATTCTTTCTTCTCCGTGGCAACATGATAACAGAAACTGCGGCGGGATGTCAAAGTCCAAGAATCGGCTCTCTGGCCTTTCCTTGGAGAAGGGATTTTTGCAGGAGATGTGACTCTTCCCTGGAGGTATGGCTGAGGCCTGAAGCTCGCACCCTGCTCTTCACTCGGGAACTCTGTAAAAGTACATTCTCGAAGCAATTTTGAAAGAGAAAAATGTACATCTCTTTGCCCTCTGTTCAGCTATTTTCAGAAATTGTGTAAAACAGGAGCCCTGCAGTGACAGAACTCATCGGACTGATCTTTAACTGTCACTAAGAAATTTAAGGATTAAATATTTTCTTGTTAATTTTGCAAGGCCACTGCTTTCAAATATGTTAAGTACATTAACTGTTAAAAATGCAAAATGAGGTTGTTTTTTTAAAAATATGAAAGTAGTGTGCTATAATTTATATTTCTATTTTGACAGATGGACTAGGCAAAAAAAAAAATAATTGACACCAATATAAGACATCTAAGTTATTATATTTATAAATAACAAGATTGATTTGAAATATTACAAGAACTCTCAAAATGTAGAATATAATTGCTTGTCCAGTCTCTTATGGACTTAATCCTATATTACATAAAGTGAAAATCTTAGAGTCAAAAAGTAAATATGACATGGGCTACAGTCTCTGACTGTAAGACAATAAAACTAAAACAGAAGAGAAAATTAACCAAAGTAATCTAAGCATTGAAGAGGTGTGGTTTAATTACTCTTTTAAACAATTCTTGAATCAAAGAAGAAAGCAATACTGCAATAACAATTTAGTGACAATGAAGCACTACATTTAAAAGGTTATAAGCAGCTAGCCAAAAAGCTAGGGAAGGGAAACATAACATAGTAAAGGAATATAGAAGAAATAAATTAATAATAATAAACAATTAAAACATAAAAGTTTATTTTTAATGTTTGAAAAAGCAGTGAAGAATGTGGAAAAATCTATACTGGCTTAACATTGAGTGGTAATCCTTTGAGGTACAAAGAGCAGCATCTTTCCTTGTGGTTTGAATTTGTGGTAATAAGCATGTATTATTATCTTTATAATTAAAAATAGGTAGGCAAATAAATAAGGAATATTCTGGCTTTGGAAGGTCATAGGTATTATATAAACTATTTTTCCAGTATCTTATGGAACACATTTTAAAATTAATGCCTCAAATCCCAAAACACAAAAATTATATAGGCATTGTCTCAGAACTCAAGAGTTTTAAGATGCTATATAAAAGCTATAAAAAGAGAATTTAAAAATAACTAACAGAAAAATAAATAACTAAAAAGTTAACTATTTTTGACAGGTTATTTGATTTTTAAATTTCTTCAGTGGTTATAAATGTCTTTAGGTTTTCGTCTTTTTCTTGAGTCAGTTTTAGCAATTTATCTTTTTCTAGGAAATGATCTATTTTCTCTGGGTTTTTAAATTTGTTGGAATAGAGTTGAACATCAACTTCATCTTATTTTTTAAAATTGTTTCTGTATTTTTTCGTATATATTCTTTCTCATTCTTAATGTTCTTTAGTTATAATTGCTTCCTTTTCTTTTCATCATCTTCTTCTTTTTTTTTTTTTTTTTTTTTTTTTTTGAGACAGGGTCTTGCTTTGTCACCCTGGGCTAGAGTGCAGTGGCATCACCATGGCTCACAGCAACTTCAAACTCCTGGGCTCTGTTGATCCTCCTGCCTCAGCCTTCTGAGCAGCTGGGACTACAGGCATGCATCACCACCCTGGCTAATTATATTTTTGTAGAGATGAGGTCTTGCTCTTGTTCAGTTAATTTCGAACTCCTGAGCTCAAGTGATCCTCCTGCCTTGGCCTCCCAGAGTGTTAGTATTACAGGCATGGGCCAATGTGCCTGTCCCAATTTCTTTTTCTTTTTTTGTAAATTAACATTGTCGGAATTTTATGTGTTATATGGGGGTTTTTTTCCTGAAAGAACTACTTATTAGAGTTATTGACAAACTGTATTCTCTTTTTCACTTTTATTTATTTATTTAGTGGAGATGGGGTCTCAATATGTTGCCCAGGCTGGTCTCGAACTCCTGGCCTCAAGACATCCTTCAACCTCAGCCTCCCAAATTATGGATTACAGGTGTACTATTCACTGTGTTTTCTGATCTTTAAATTTTGATGGCTACTTCATTTATTTTCATTGTTTTGCTTTTATAAATAATACCACAGGAAATATGCTTGACTTGCATCTTAATACCTTAGTACTCATATTTCTGTAAGGTAGAGTTCTAAAAAGAGAATTAATGAGTCACAGGTTTAGCTATTTTGAATTTTGGTGGATGCTGCCAAATAAGTCTTCCAAAAAGTTGTGCAAAATTATACTTCCAAGAACTATGTATGAGTGAACCTATTTCTCCAAACCTCATCAACACACGATACCACCAATCTTAGTAATTTTTCTAGTCTGACATGCAAAACTTTATATGGCCTATTTAAGTGCCTAAAATTGATAGTGGGGAGGGGAGTCCATTGACTAAAAAAAGAAGATAAACTGTTACGATGTATTAGTAAGAAGAAAATGAGCCAGGATATTAAATGTAGAAGAGTGTACAGGTCAACGAAACTCCATAAAAAGAGAGAGAATAGAGCAGAAACCAGAATTGTGGAATTTTTTTCATTTATTTGACTGCAAGAGCTGGGGGGAGCCAAGAACAAGGTGGGAATTTGATGACATTGATTGAGTTTTCAGTTATGTGTGTCCTGCCTGTGTACAACTCCAGATGGGCCAGGCAAGGGGCCTCGCTTCATGATAATGATAAGCTCATGGAATGAAGGAAATAATAACTGGGTGTGGGGGACAGCGGCATTCAGGCTTGTGGGCTCCACCTTGGCGGGAGGCGGGGTGGAAGTCTGGGAGAGCAGTGGGTGACAGAGTCACAGGTAAAATTCTAAGGTTAAAGAATTTGACTTAGGCACGGAAGGGCTACATTGACCAGGGTGCTCACAGAGCTTCTGTGGTTTTTCCCTCTGGATTGGTTATTTTTTTTTTTTGGTGTTAATAAAGGAGCAGCGGAAGCCAATCAATCAATGTATTCACATCCATTTGTACCAAAACTTTCTATTTTATAAATATTTGTCCTTCTGTTGCTGACTGGTCCAAAGCGAAACTCAGCCTCCGTCCCTGACCTTTCTGCGTGACATCACACTTCCTAACACGTCCCCCAGATGACTCTCTTTTTTTGCTTCCTTCCTCCCTTAGGTCATAGTCGGTTTGGTTTTTTTTGTTTTGTTTTGTTTTGTTTGTCTTCATAGCACATGACTTATTTTCAGCTTTTTATCTCCTGCTATCCAGCCTCAAACGATGCTTTCCCTTCACCCCATCTCATATTTCACGAGTAATCCTAACCCAAAACTCCTAACCCAAAATAGTCTTTCCTGCATAACTTGGAGCTGGTCAACAAACGTCTTCGGTTTCTGTGGGTATGGATCCACCGTCTTCACCGTTGTCCGGTTCCCAAGCCGGGTTTGCAGCCCGCGGTGTCTTAGCTTTGGAAATTCCTCCACCTGCTGGTTGCCTCAAGCCCCGTCCGTCCACGTTATGTAATGAGGTTCGCAGTTATTTAATAGTTGATGAATTTCGGCCTATTTTTAAGAGTAGCGCATGCCTCTTGCGAATGATGACATGTTTCTGAATCACTTCGAATTCCTGAAATCAAAACAAAATTTTTTTTTCTTATGAAGAAAATATATTCTTATCACAGTATAAAATAGTTAAAAGCCGCTGACAAATTTCTCTTAATGCTTCTTAACAACCACTAGGGGGCAGGAAATCATTGTACAGTACAGCAAATCACTCCAAGTCTGGCTAGAGAAGAAAAAGATGCCCTATTTTATGTGTATTTCTAAAAGTTAGTCCCAAAATCAAATTATTTTTCAATTTAGTCATTGATTTGGTGCTTTGGGCATATTATTGACACAATAAGCCTTTGGCAGTGGTTTTATTTTTCACAAATTGCTTTCTATCAGTGTATCAAATCAGAAGACCCTTTTTCTGAATTAAACACTTTAAAGATCAATTTGACATCATAAAGCAGGTTTGCCATGTATTGCTAGTAAGAATAGTTGAAATGGCCGGGCGCGGTGGCTCACGCCTGTAATCCTAGCTCTCTGGGAGGCCGAGGCGGGCGGATTGCTCAAGGTCAGGAGTTCGAAACCAGCCTGAGCAAGAGCGAGACCCCGTCTCTACTATAAATAGAAAGAAATTAATTGGCCAACTAATATATACAAAAAATTAGCCGGGCATGGTGGCGAATGCCTGTAGTCCCAGCTACTTGGGAGGCTGAGGCAGGAGGATTGCTTGAGCCAGGAGTTTGAGGTTGCTGTGAGCTAGGCTGACGCCACGGCACTCACTCTAGCCTAGGCAAGAAAGCGAGACAAAAAAAAAAAAGAATAGTTGAAATATGTGGATAAACTAGAAATGAGTTTGTCTTACTAAAAATTAGAGAAATTCATAACAAAACAACATATTTATGCCTACCCAAGTTTCAGGAATTCTCTTTTCAGTGTCTTTCTCAAAATATGGATTCAAACATCATTAAAAATAATTAACCACTTATTTAACAGATTCTATTCCAGACGAGATTGGGCACGTTTGGGGCGGTATGGTCGTAGACTCTGTTCCAAAACAAACTCCTTAAAGATAAGAATGCAATTATTATCTCAACTTTCTCACCTTCCATTCCCCTTCAGCCTTTCCCTCCTTGCCCCATGAAACTGCTCAGGCAAAGCCACCCATGACTTCCTATTGGCCAAATCCAGGTTCTTAAACCAGTTGGAAGGATTGTAAACCAGCCCTTGCTAATTTAAGCTTAAAAGAAATGTACTGAGGCCGGGCGCGGTGGCTCACGCTTGTAATCCTAGCACTCTGGGAGGCCGAGGCGGGCGGATTGCTCAAGGTCAGGAGTTCAAAACCAGCCTCTACTATAAAAATAGAAAGAAATCAATTGGCCAACTAATATATATATATAAAAAATTAGCCGGGCATGGTGGCTCGTGCCTGTAGTCCCAGCAACTCGGGAGGCTGAGGCAGTAGGATTGCTTGAGCCCAGGAGTTTGAGGTTGCTGTGAGCTAGGCTGACGCCACGGCACTCACTCTAGCCTAGGCAAGAAAGCGAGACTCTGTCTCAAAAAAAAAAAAAAAAAGAAATGTACTGAAAGTACATCGGAGCCTGGCTCGGTGGCACCTGCCATAGCCCCAGCTACTCAGGAGGCTGAGGCGGGAGGATTGCTTGAGCTCAAGAATTCAAATCCAGCCTGGACAACATAGTGAGACCTTGTCTCATAGGCAGATAGATAGATAGATGAAATATCACAGGAAGAAATACAGGTAGCAAGAGTTAATCAACAGTCTCATCAGATACGGATCCTCTCCTGGCACTCAAATTATTCCATCATGCATGCCCACCCCATGGCGTGGAGTGGCAGTGCAGAATACCCTGACTGTCCTACCACAGCTGTACATATTGAGAGAAGGGTTGTTCAGTAAGAGGATATTGGGTGCTATTACCAAAAGGCGGGGGTAAAGAGAGAGGATGTTCAAAAAAGAAAACACCCACCACAATTTTCATCCTTCTTGATTTCTTTATAATTTTGTCACCAGGTGCAGTTCCCGGGATGGTTAATTCTATGTGTCAACTTGACTGGGCCATGGAGTGCCCAGATTAAACATTATTCCTGGGTGTGTCTATGAGGATATTTCCTGATGAGGTCAGCATTTGAATTGGTGGACTCAGCGAAGTAGATTTCCCTCTCCACGTGGGTGGGCACCATCCACTCCGCTTTGTATTTTAAAACCACAGTCCAGATTATAAGGATGATCATTGTTACTGAAATGACAAAGAGGAGAGATAGACTGATTGACAGACAAAAGTTCATACTGATGATGATTATTCATTTTGTCCCATATTACACACACATTTTCAAAGTAACAGTACTAATATTACCACCATCAATACACCAAATGTTGAAAATGTTTCGCCTATATTCTCCCCATACTTCCCTACGTTATAGTTATTTTGTATTAACATTTCAGAGTATAAGTCCATCTCATATTATATTCTCTTTTTACTGTGTCAGGTGTCAATGTATTGACTCTCAGCTTCAAATCCTTGCTTTCTCAGCAGTAATGAGGCTGAACTCTGTAAATACTTCTCCCATGGCAGCTAGTTTGATGTCAGATTGTGTTATAGAGGGCACTGGGGGGGGACACCAGAGGAGGCAGTGGCTTCTCTTCCTCATACACATGTATGTGCATATCTCCCTGGGCTCCTGCAGAGTGCATGGTTCTTTTCAGCAGTGCCTAGTGGTCAGCAGCAAGCAGCAACTGCCCGTGGACAGCTTCCCCCAGCACACCATTCTCTGGATGGCCCCCCAGTGCTGTGCTGCCAGCAAAGCACCTCCCTTTGAGTGGCTTCTCTTCATACTTTGCAGTGAATTCTGAGATGCAGCGTCTCCCTGTGGATAGCTTGTCTCAGCATTCCAGAGAGAGGATTTCTAGTGAGTCCCACTGATGTCACACCTCAATGAACTTTTTTGCCCACCAGTGAGCAACAACCATGGTCTTTCCAGCAAGATTTAGACCTCAGCCCTGGAGGTATCACAAAGAAGATCTCTGCCTTAGACACCCTATTTCAATCCTAAGAGTAGTGGCTGCTCCCTATTTCTGCTATTCCATATGGTTTACAATTCTCTTTGCCTCTTTTTAGCCAAACGCCCTTAATTCCAATCCCATCAATAATTCCTTATACTGCTGGATGCAGTGGTGCATGCCTATGGTCCCACCTACTTAGGAGGCTGAGGTGGGAGGACTGCTTGAGCTCAGGAGTTTGAGGCCAACCTGAGCAACGTAGCAAGACCCATCTCTTAAAAACAATTCCTTATAGTAAATGTTCCCTGTTCAAGTTACCGTGTGGTTTCCATCTCTTGGACCTTGACCGATGCAAACCCTCATTGTATCTCAGTTCTACAAGTAATTAAATATTTAATGTCCACCACCTGTGCTTCTATCATTGTCTATGACTCATTTTGGTTGATGAGCTTCATTCTCAAGTAGATTCCTTGGAAAGAACTCAAGTGGATAACACTTCCTGAAGTCTTCCATTTTGTTAATGAATTATGTTTTTATACTTGAAAGTCAGTTTTCCTGAGTATAAAGTCTTTGGTTCACATTTTCTTTCCTTGAATATTTTCTTTCCTTTAAATATATTTCACCACTTTCTTCTCCCATGAAGTGTTAATGTTGAAGTCTTACAATAATTCAGTTTTATTTCTCCCATAAATGACTTGATTTTTTGGCCTAAGATCATTTTTTTTTCTTTTTTTTTTTTTAGAGACAGGGTCTTATTCTGTCACCCAGGCTAGAGTGCAGTGGTGTGATCATTGTTCACTGTAACCCTGGAGTCCTTGGCTGAAGCGATCCTCCCATATCAGCCTCCTGAGTAGCTGGACTACAAGTCCCATGCCTGGCTTAGTTTTTTTTTTGTTTTTTTTTTGTAGTGAGTAGGTCTCACTATGTTGCCCAATCTGGTCCACCTTCTCCCTTTCCTAAGGCCACTTTTTTAAAAAATGTAAAGTCTAGTAATTTTGCTAGAATATATCTTGTTCATTGTCAGTGTTTTCAGATACACAGTATGTGCGTGCTCTCTCTATATATATATATGTATACATACATATAAAACCTCATATTATATATTGTATATTACCATATATAACCATATATATGTATACTGTCATGCACTGCATAATGATGTTTTAGTCAACAATAAATGGCATATATGATGGTGGTCCCAAAAGATTATAACAGAGCTGATAAATTCCTGTTGCCTAGTGACATCGTGGAGATCTTGATGCTGTGTAAGCCTAGACTAATGTGTGTGTATGTATCTTAGTTTTTAACAAAAAAAGCTTAAAAAGTAAAAATAACAAAAAATTGTAAAAATAGAAAAAAGCTTATAGAATAAGAATATTAAACAAGAAAATATTTTTGTACAGCTTTATAATGTGTTTGTTTTAAGCCAAGTGTTATTACAAGAGTCAAAAAGTTTTTAAAAATTCAGGTGGCAGGGGGGAAAAAGGGATGGGTAACATCATACCTAATGGGTATAATGTATACCATCTGGGTGATGGGCACTTATACCTTTGTCTCAAGCAGTACAAAAGCAATCCATGTAACCAAAACATTTGTACCCTTGTAATATTGTGAAATAAAATTTTTTAAAAAGTTTAAAGTTTAAAAAAATTAAAGTTTACAAAGTAAAAAAGTTGCAGCAGAAAAAATTTTTTAATAAATTTAACCTGTGTACAGTGTTTATAAAATCTACCATAATGTATAGTCATCTAGGCCTTCACATTCACTTGAAACTCACTGACTGACTCACCCAGAGCAACTTCCACTCCGACAAACTCCCTTTATAGTAAGCGTCCTATAAGGTATATCATCTTTTATCGTTTTACTGTATTTTTACTGTAGCTTTTCTATGTTTAGATATGTTTAGATGCACAAATCCTTACCATTGCGTTATAACTGCCTACAGTATTCAGTGTAGTAACATGCTGTACAGGTTTGTAGCCTAGGTCTATCATATAAGCCCTGTGTGTAGTAGGCTATACTAGATTTGTGTAAATACACTATATGTTGTCTGTGTGATGAAATTGCCTAACGATGCATTTCTCAAAATGTATCCTCATTTTTAAGTGACTCTGTGTGCGTGTTTATGTCTGTGTGTGTGTGTGTGTGTGTGTGTATAAATCTGAGGAGATATATATATATATATATATATATATAATTCAGAAAAAACTTCTTGAATTAAAATATGTTGTGTTTATTCTGTTATTTGACTTTGGTTTCCTTTATCAGGGACTTTTTTTTTTTTTTTTTTTGAGACAGAGTCTCGCTTTGTTGCCCAGGCTAGAGTGAGTGCCATGGCGTCAGCCTAGCTCACAGCAACCTCAAACTCCTGGGCTCGAGCAATCCTTCTGACTCAGCCTCCCGAGTAGCTGGGACTACAGGCATGCGCCACCATGCCCGGCTAATTTTTTCTATATATATTATTTGGCCAATTAATTTCTTTCTATTTATAGTAGAGACGGGGTCTCGCTCTTGCTCAAGCTGGTTTTGAACTCCTGACCTCGAGCAATCCGCCCGCCTCGGCCTCCCAGAGAGCTAGGATTACAGGCGTGAGCCATCACGCCCGGCCTATCAGGGACTTTTAATCTATTAAAAATTAAAGATCCAAGATATGTTGGATCTTCTTTGCATATCTTCAATATTTATCATTTCTCTTGAATTATTTCTCTTTCTACATTTCTTTTTGATTTAGAAAAAATCTCATTTTCAACTTCCAGTTCTCTTCAGGCACCATCTATTGTATTTGCTTACTCTTTTGTTCCTTCTATTTTAGTTCCCTTTTCTGAAATCATTTTTTCTTTTATTTCTGTTCTTTCCCAAGTTCTGTTGCTTCATTCCTGAGTTTTTATTTTTCTGATTTATTTTGCACTTTCCTGTCTTATAATTGCAGTCTCCAACCTTTTTAGCACCAGAGAATGTTTTCACAGAAGACAATTTTTCCATGGACGGGAGTAGGAGGGGGATGGTTTCCAGATGATTCAAACTCATTTCTTTTTTTTTTTTTTTTTTTACATTTTTTTCTTTTTTCTTTTTTTTAGATGAAGAAGGGTAGGAGGATCAAACTCATTTCATTTGCAGCCGCTCCCCAGACCTACCATCACTGCTTCAGCTGCACCTCAGATCATCAGGCATTAAATTATCATATTGAATGTGCAACCTAGATCCCTCACATACACAGTTTACAGTAAGGTTCTCACTCCTATGAAAATCTAATGCTGCTACTGTTCTGATAGGAGGCGGAGCTCAGGCGGTGATGTGAGCTATGGGGAGTGGCTGCAAATACAGATGAAGCTTCCCCTTGCTGGCCTGCTGCTCACCTCCTGCTGTGCAGCCCAGTTCCTAACAGGCCACAGACTTGTACTGTTCTGTGGCCCAGAGGTTGGGGACCACAGTCTTATAACATTTTATTTATGTCTTTATGGTGACACTGTGCAGGTGCGACATAAAGAGTGGTATTCAAAGCAAAGTCCGTGTCTCCAGTAATCACAATATTTCACTCATTCCAAGCTGTTTTCATTTTCTTTGTTCCTGTTTCTCCTGTCTCCCCACTCCAACCTGGAATACTTGTTGAACATTACTTTCTCATAGGTGATTTTAAAACCAAATTTATAAGGATAAACCTTTCTAGCTATAGGCCACCATAATTTTTCCCTTATTTTGAATTCTTAAATAGGTTTTCAAGTGCTTCATGAAAGTCCTTCCCCACCAGATCATTCGCTTCTTACCAGCAAAAGTTATGGCTTTTATATCTTTCAGAGTAAAATAAAAAAAAATGATTCTGGTCATTGTTGTGACTCAGAAAGCAATACCCCAAATGAAGGGCTCAGAAGTACAAGTTTTTTCTCTGACCTTCTCCTGCCCTCCTGTCTCTCCACCCCATTCTCCCCCAAGGCTGGCCATAGAAACTAGAATCCCTCTCCCCTATGAATCCCTCCCTCCATAGGTCATAAAAAGCTGAACCCCTTTCCCCTAAAGCCAGCCATGAAGCTTAAAAATATTACCCCAACTTTCCCCTTGCTTTTCTGTGTAAAAACTGGCCATAAAGAAATTGTCTGACCTACCTTGTTTGACTGTAGGTAATAAGACCCCCATTGCAGAGAAGGTCATGCCCCATATCCAGGGGAAGGAAGAAGGAAGGAATGTATGCTCAGAGAGGCCAAGAGAATCTAGATAGACAGGGCTTGCCGGGTTTCCTCACTTGGTCTATTAACATTAGATAACACCCTTTTGTCCTGTCATATTTCTACATGCCTGTCTATACTTTGTTGAACCTAAGCATAAAAATGGACAATTTGCCCTGTATCTTTGGGTCTTCATTCTGAAGGCTTCTGTAGCGCGTAAAACTATGATCAAATAAATTTGTATGCCTTTTCTCCTATTAATCTGGCTCTTGTCAGTGACTTTCAGCAAACCTTCAGAGGGTGAAGGTAAAGTTTTCCCTTGGTCCCAACAGCATCATCATTAACAAATATTTCCGCAGCATTTGTCCCCTGTAGGTCCTCTGTCCACCGCTGTAGACACAAGCCTTCTGCTCCAGCAGAATTGTGCCTTTCTTCAAACCCATTGTCTCAACCTTAGGTGTCTTTTCCTTTATTTTCTGTTACGTAAGGCCCGGGTCATATCCCAGGGCTGTGGAGTACTCATGATGCCCTCTTCCTCTGAATTATATATAGCGCCTCACATATTTATATTTAATATACTTTCCTATATCCTGAAGTTGATTATAAGCCTCTCAGTGGTAGGGATATGTTAATATATGTCCCAGTTTAGTCTGACTTTTAACTTCGTATCTTCTAAGGGGACAGATGCCTCCTGTATCACCTTCTCGAGTACAGACGGTTATCTGGGATGGATGCGGGCAGACACAGCAACAAGCCCCGCACCTGGAGACCAAAACCACCTGCAGTTCCGCGGTGGAAAAGGCTGCGCTGACCCTGGGACCTCTCGGAAACCCTGCCCATCCTCAGTTTCTCACCGACAGCCTAGCTCCAGCCCCACGGGACATCTAGAGAGGCCCTGAGCCTTAGACTTCATTAAAACCGTACAGGGAAGGAGGGACACTCAGGACCCAACAAACAGCAAGCGTGACTCTATGACAACAGACCAGGGCCAGACCAGGGCGGGCAGCCCCGCCGCCCGGCCCTCCTCGCCCGGCTCCGCCCACCGGCCGGCGTCGCTCCTGGGGGCGGGGTTTCCGCTTCCGGTGGTGGATTGTTGACGCCTGCGGCTGCTGCGGTGGCGACGGGGCCGTTGGGGAGGGGCCACTGGGGGAGGGAGACGGCGCAGTGACAGGTACCGCGGAGGGTGCTGCTGAGGCGACATGGCAGAGGGGCCCGAGGAAGCCCGAGGCCGCCCTCCCGGGCAGGACGACGGCGGAGGGGACCACGAGCCCGTCCCTTCCCTGAGAGGCCCTCCCGCCGCCGCCGCCCCGTGCCCCCGGGCTGGGCCCCAGGTTGAACCCCAGGCCCCGGGCCGGCCCCCAGCCCCCGGCCTCGCGACCGCCGCCGAGGAGTCGGGGCCGGCGAGCGAGCTCAGGAAGCGCGGGGAGGCGGCCGCCGGCTCTGGGGCGGAGCTGCAGGAGCCGGCGGGCTGCGAGGCGCTCGAGGCCGCCGCTCCGCGGGAGAGGCCGTCGCGGCTGAGCGCTCGCGAGTACTCCCGGCAGGTGCACGAGTGGCTGTGGCAGTCCTACTGCGGCTACCTCACCTGGCACAGCGGCCTAGCCACCTTCCCGGCCTACTGCAGCCCCCACGCGCCCCCAGCGACCTACCCCTCGGGCGGCGCGGCGCTTCCCCAGGCTGCGGGGCCCCCGCCGCCCCAGCTGGGCTATTACAACCCCTTCTACTTCCTGAGCGCCGCGGCCGCGGGGCCTGACCCCGGGGCAGCCACGGGCGTCGCCACTCCTGCTCCAGTCGCTGGCCTTGGACCCCGGGCCCCTCACGTGCAAGGATCAGTCCGCGCCACTCCAGTGACGAGGGTAGGATCCGCAGCCCCTTCGCGAACCCCGAGCGAGACCGGGCGGCAGGCAGGTGAGAAGCGCGAGGTAGAGGTTGAGCGGAGCGTAAGGGTCTTCGGTGAACTGCCTGCGGGGTAGAGCGGGCACTCTTTTTAAATCTGTAATTGCCACTCTGATTAGTGATCCTCCGTGTGCATCAGCTATCGTTTGTCCAAGCCTTAAATTCCTAAAATGTACGGGGCAGTGCAGTTTCTTCTTCCTTTAGAACTGGCACTCCGAATTGATTCCCTTACTCATGAGACTAGTTATTTCCACATGTCAAGACATCTTTGCTCTTCAAGCCGTCCTCTTACCTTGATCTCCATGCTCTGGAGAGAAAGCTCCAAAGCTAAACTCCAACATGGCAAATCCACTTTTGGAGGGGCTTGACTGATGGTCTGGAAATAATCCAGACATTGGCTGTTTAGGGACAGTGGAACTGAAGGGATATAAAAGGAGATTTACTTGAATACAGATAGAGTTAGGAAGCTTTGATTGAGCCATGGCTTACAGATCTTGTATATTATCTAATTGTTTACTTCTGTATAGAGACTAGAATATTTTTATTTAGTTACATTCTTTGGTTTACTGACTTTTTATTAAACTTTTTAAAATTTATTCAGCCACGGATACATGGGACAAAAACTAGCTGATGCCTGAGTATAATCCCAGTCAAAATTGATAATTACTGAGTTTATTTTATAGAAAGCAAAGCAAACTAAAAGAATAGGGGAGAAATACAGGGATTTATTTTATACTACTTGTCTGTACTTAACCTTGATTTTTACTAAAACATTTCATTTTGTCATTTAGATGTGATCACCTGGATTCTCCTCATTAGAGTTCCTAGTGACATGTATTGGGTACCCTAATCAAATTTATCTGTGAAATCAATAAACCTTTCAATACCTTTTAAACATTAAAGTATTGAAAGCAAGCTTTAAGCAGTTCAGCAAATAGTGCAGTAGTGTTGCTGTATTTAATAACATGTACTCTTGGTAGAATCAATATCAATGATTGCTGTTGTAAGATTATAGATTATTTATTATTGAGTTGTACCTTGATTTTCCCCATTCATTACCCAGCTTGTATTGTAAGGCCTCTGTGAAATGATTAGTTTTCCTAACCTCCCCCCTTTTTTTTTTAACAGGCAGAGAGTATGTTATTCCATCCTTGGCCCACAGATTTATGGCAGAGATGGTGGATTTCTTTATTCTCTTCTTTATAAAAGCAACCATTGTCTTAAGTATTATGCACCTCAGTGGAATAAAGTAAGTTAAGGACTTTTACAGAAATGTTTTAATTTCTGTTCAGAGATCTTGTTTTGTTAAATTTTGATCATGCCTGCAAATGATTATATGTATAATCAGTGTGCCACTGTCAAGATTTCTTTATAAGAGCTTTGTCAGATTTATTGTTTTGTTGGTTTTAAGAAATAACTACAAAGGAGATAAGCCTCTTACAATGCGTAAAAAAAAAAAAAAAAAAAAAAAACAAAGGAGAAAAAGACTCTTAATAAATTCTGTAAGATGTGTGGTATTCTCACCTATCAAAAGCGGATAAAAGGAGCCTCCAAATCTGGTTTGGTTTTATTCAACTATTTTCTTAGGCCAGGAACTAATTTTCCTTTTACCACCTTGTAGAGTCCTTAAACACAAAGACATAAAGAGCTTTTGATAGGTGAGTCATTAATAATCAACTAGATGGCATTTCCAAATGGGATTGCCTATACTATCAGACAAGTCCCAAGTGAACTGCAAAATGAGGCATTTATTTGAATAATCCTCCTTTCAGATTAATTATAATCCTAATAGTTATCACTTATCCTAACAATTATCACTTCCTAAGCACTTTCTATGTGCTAGGCATTGAGCTCACCTCTTCATGTGAATTCTTATTTAATTCTTAATACCACTATGAGGTAGAGGTTAATACTTCCATTTTATAGAGTTTGGAATTTGGGTTTATGAGAAGTTAAGCCCAGAATTTAAAAAGTTATGGAAGGTAGTAAGTGACAGAGTTAAGATACAAACCCATGTGGTCAAATTTCAGGACTCTTGGCAGGAACCTGAGTGTTACTGTGATTCCTTCCTGCTCCTCCCACCACCCTCTCTCTCATCATTACTTCGCCCTAGTACAGTTACTGTCATCTTTTGCTTGGATTATAGCAGTAGTCTTCTAAGTGGTAACTCTGTCTCCTCTCAGTCAAGTCTCTGGTATAAAGCCAAAGTGATCCAAAAATTCTGATTCTGCCCTTCTCCTGCCTTAAAACCCTTCAGTGGTTTCTCATTGCCAACAGGATAAAGTCTGAATTTCATCATCTGGTTTAACAGATGCCCTTATTTCTTAATTACTGTAACTTCTCACACTTAATATTTGAGCCACACCAAACAGCTTTCAGCTTCCATCACATACTTTCTTGCTTTAAGGCTTTCTCTCCTGCTGTTCCCTTTCTCTGGAACTTTCTTCCCCTTCTTAGTCTGGCTAACTTTTCTTCATTCTTCAGATCCTAGCTTAAAATGTCATTTCTGGGAAGCTTTTACAAGGTTAAATGTATCTGGTATATGTTTCCATAGTATCACAGTTCTCATCCCACTTTATTACTGATACTTATTTATTCTGTTTTCCATGAAAGCAGAAACCATGTTGAATTCATTCACCATTCTGTCCACAGGGCTAGTACAATACCTGCTTATGATAATGCTGCTTATTTGTTGAATATGCTAATGAATGTTTTGTGAAACTAGATGGTTAGGAACCTAAAAGATTAGTTTAGAATTTCAATTATAATTTATGACTTACACTAATGAAAAAAAAAACAGTGCAACTGTTCTGATAACTAATTCTTTATAACCACAAACTATTATTTTGTACAGGGATATATCTAAGTTCGCTATGCATTATATAATAGAAGAAATAGATGAAGACACATCAATGGAAGACTTGCAGAAAATGATGGTTGTGGCTCTTATATACAGATTATTAGTTTGTTTCTATGAGGTAAGCTATAACTTCAGCAAATATTAATATTTAACAATTTTAGATTATTAGCCCAAGACAAAAAAGTAGTAGAAATTTGTAATCATGCATTTTTTTAAATGTCTCCTTCTGCTTTTCTATTTTTTCCAAATTTTCTTTAATAACATTAAAAAAACAACTTTTGGAAGTGAGACATTTTATAATTTCTTTGTAATATTTTTTAGTATTAGGAATTCAAATACAATTCCACTCATAAACAGATTGTGGTCCAAAAAATATACTTCTAAGTTCATTGAGGAATTTGAGATATATTTTTCCATAGAAACAATTTGCTGAAAAGTATAATAGGTCATAGAGAAAT